TCGCCGATCGCCTCGTGGATCAGCACCGCCGCCACCGAGGAGTCGACGCCGCCCGACAGGCCGCAGATCACCTTGCCGTCGCCGACCTGCTCGCGGATCTCGGCGATGGCCTGCTCCTTGAAGGCGGCCATGGTCCAGTCGCCGCTGCAGCCGGCCACCTTGCGCACGAAGTTGTGCAGCAGGCGCGCACCGTCGGGGGTGTGCAGCACCTCGGGGTGGAACTGCACGCCGTAGTAGCGCTTCTGGTCGTCGGCGATGGCCGCGCAGGGCGCCCCCTCGCTGCGGCCGACGGTGACGAAGCCGGGGGCCAGGCGCATCACCCGGTCGCCGTGGCTCATCCAGACCTGGTGACGCTCGCCCTGCTGCCACAGGCCGTCGAACAGCAGGCAGTCCTCGGCGATCTCCAGGAAGGCGCGGCCGAACTCCTGGTGATCGCTGGTCTCCACCTCGCCGCCGAGCTGCGAGGTCATGGCCTGCATGCCGTAGCAGATGCCCAGCACCGGCACGCCGAGGTGAAACACCTCGTCGGGCGCGCGCGGCGTGGTCGCATCCGTCACGCTGGCCGGGCCGCCGGAGAGGATCACCGCCTTGGGATCGAAGATCTCCAGCCGGGCGGGGTCGATGTTGAAGGGCAGGATTTCGCAGTAGACTCCCGCCTCGCGCACGCGCCGGGCGATGAGCTGCGTGACCTGCGAGCCGAAGTCGAGGATGAGTACGCGGTCGGTCATGGGCAGGGTGATAGCGGATTCTGTGGCGTCTGGCGAGGTGGCATCATGCCGGCGGCTCGGCCTCCTCGGTCTCGAACCGCGCCGGCAGGGTGATCTCCAGCATCTCCAGGTCGTCGGAGTGGGCGAGCTCGCGGTGGCGGATGCCCGGTGGCTGGTGGACGCAGGAGCCCGGCTCCAGTCGCACCTCGCCGACGCCCTCGTACTCGAAGACCACCCAGCCCTGGAGCACGTAGACCATCTGGAAGGCCAGATCGTGGGTGTGCCAGACCGGGTTGGCCGCGCCGCCCGGGCGGGCGCGGATGACATGGGCGCCGACGCCGCCGGCGCTGGCCGCGGCGCTGCCCAGATCGCGGTATTCGAAGAAGCCGCGCAGGCCCGCCTGCCAGGGCGCGTCGGCATGGGTGACGCAAAAACCTTCGGGCGGTCCTCCCTGCCCTGCGGTCTGCGGTGCGGTCTGCGGTGCGGTCTGCCCTGCGGTCGGTGGTGGGGTCTGCGGTGGGGTGTCGCTCATGCACGGGCCTCCCTCGTGTCTCGGTCTGCGTGACGTTTGCTCGCTCGCCGCGCCCTTCCGGCCCGCCGCCGTCAAGCCGCGCCGTCCGGCCGATCGCCGCGCCGCTGGCGGTGCTTGACCTGCGTCAGCCAGGACATCAGGTCGGGCCAGGCGTAGGCCACCTCCGGCAGCCAAATGCCGGCAAAGCGCTCCTCGCGCTCGGCCACGGCCTGCCCGCCCATGCGCTCGTAGAAGAAGCGCGTCGGATTGCCGCTCAGCATCCACAGGCCGGCGTCGGTGAAGCCCTTGGCCGCCAGCTCCTCGATCAGCGCGACGAGGAGCCTGCGGCCGTGGCCGCGGTCCTGGAAATCGGTGTGGACGTAAAGGGTGTAGATCTCGCCGCGGAAGGGCGCGCGGGCGCTGTCCGCCTCGCGTACCAGGCCGCAGGAGCCGAAGCCGACGATCTCGCCGGCGGCGGTCTCGTCGCCCTGCGCCTCCGCGCCGTCGTCCAGCGCGACCAGCACCTTCTCGGCCGCCCGCCGTCCGATTAGCTCGCGCCAGAAGCGTTGGTAGCGCGCGAGGTCCATGCCGGCGAGGTAGCCGTCGGGGACCAGTCCGGCATAGGTCGCCTGCCAGGTCTCCACATGGATGCGCGCGATCGCCGCGGCATCCATCGGCGTGGCCTCGCGCACGCTCATGCCGCGCGCCCCCGCGCCGCGCGGCCGCTCAGCGCCGCCTCCATCGCCCGCTCCGGCGTCTCACCGTCATGGCGTCTCGCTCCCGGGGCTCTCGCCCTCCGTCCCGTCGGCCGGGTCGGCCGCCGCCGCGCCGGCACCGCGTTCGAACACCGCGACGAAGAAGCCGTCGGTGCCCTGGGCGGCGGGGCGCAGCAGCAGCGTCGCCTCGCCGCTCGGCGGCCGGCCGGGCAGGCTCTCGGCCCAGACCTCGGCCAGGGGCACCAGCCTAAAGTCCTTGCGGCGTTCAAGGAAGCGTTCGACCTGGGCGTGATTCTCCGCCGGCAGCAGCGAGCAGGTGGCGTAGACCAGGCGTCCGCCCGGCCGGACCAGCCGCGCCGCCGAGACCAGCAGCCGCCCCTGCAGCGCGGTCAGCTCCTCCAGCCCCTCCGGCGTCAGCCGCCAGCGGGCGTCGGGATTGCGCCGCCAGGCGCCGGAGCCGCTGCAGGGCGCATCGACCAGGACCCGGTGGAAGCCGGACTTGTGGCGCTTGATCCAGGGGTCGCTCTCGCTCTTCAGGTGGCGCCGGGTGACGTTGTGGGCGCCGGCCCGCTTCAGCCGCACGGCCGAGCGGTCGAGCCGCCCCTTCAGCGTGTCGCAGGCGACGAGCTGGCCGCGATTCTCCATGGCGGCGGCCAGGGCCAGGGTCTTGCCGCCGGCGCCGGCGCAAAGGTCGCAGACCCGCTCGCCCGGCCGCGCGCCGACCAGCGCCGCGATGAGCTGCGAGCCCTCGTCCTGCACCTCGACCAGCCCCGCGCGAAAGGCGCGGGTCGCGGCGATCGGGCGGCGCCCGTCGAGCCGCAGCGCCCAGGGCGAAAACCGGCCGACGGCCGAGGCGATCTCTTCCTCCGCGAGAGCCGCCTGGGCGTCGGCGCGGGTGGCCTTCAAGCTATTGACCCGCAGATCCAGCGGCGCCTCGCGGGACAGCGCGGCCAGCTCGCGTTCCAGATCCGCGCCCAGGCCGGCGCGGAGCTGCGGCAGCAGCCAGGCCGGCACCTCGCAGCGCACGTCCAGCGGCTGCTCGGGATCGTCCAGCGCCGCGCCGGCCAGCCGCTTGCCCGCCGCCACCTCGCCCGCGTCCAGCGGCGCCGGGGCGTAGCGCGCGCCGTCGAAGAGCTGGCGGAGCTGCGCCAGCGGCAGGCGCTCGTGCAACAGCAGGAAGGCGATCAGCCGCAGCCGGTTGGTCGGCGCCGCCCCGACCCGCGCCAGCCACCAGCCGAGCCGCGCGTGGGCGCGCAGCACGCCGTAGAGCAGCTCGGTGACGGCGCGGCGGTCCTTGGCACCGATGTAGCGGCGCCCGCGCAGGTAGTCGGCCACCGCCCGGTCGGCCGGCGGCGCGGACGGCCGCGCCGCCTCGGCCTGGGCGTCGGAGCGGAGC